AGCGGGAGGGGGGGGGGAGCCAACTACTCACCTAGTTGTACTTGCCAGGGATTGAGCTTCAACTCTTGGGTTCCGCCTCTGAACTTTTTTTTTATATCAACTGACGTGCATATGCTGGACCCTAATGTGTTATGAACCGTACATTTCAATTCCTGTCTGTCTACCACTGTCTACTGCCGCCTTGTATATTGTATATTTTCCCCGAGTACTTTTTATGTGGTAATCATATCTCCCCTAACTATGTTTTTGCAGTGACCCGAGGAAAGAGTGGCTGTCCACGGACACGACCAACCACAGTTATCCCACCTATCAACACCTTAATTAGATTTTGATCCACGAAACTGTCAATGTTTTCACTTAGCATTTTAGTGATTTCGTTAAAACTTTGTTACATAGCCACCCCCCTCTTTCCCGAGACACTCCCCCCCCACCACCCCCTCTTTCCCGAGACACTCCCCCCCCCACCCCCCCTCTTTCCCGAGACACTCCCCCCCCACCACCCCCCTCTTTCCCGAGACACTCCCCCCCCACCACCCCCCTCTTTCCCGAGACACTCCCCCCCCCACCCCCCTCTTTCCCGACCACCACCCCCCTCTTTCCCGAGACACTCCACCCCCACCTCCCCCCTCGAGACGAGACCCCCCCCACCACCCCCCTCTTTCCCGAGACACTCCCCCCCCACCACCCCCCTCTTTCCCGAGACTACTCCCCCCCCACCACCCCCCTCTTTCCCGAGACACTCCCCCCCCCACCACCCTCTTTCCCGAGACACTCCCCCCCCCCCACCACCCCCCTCTTTCCCGAGACACTCCCCCCCCACCACCCCCTCTTTCCCGAGACACTCCCCCCCCACCACCCCCCTCTTTCCCGAGACACTCCCCCCCACCACCACCCCTCTTTCCCGAGACACTCCCCCCCCCCACCCCCCCCTCCGAGACACTCCACGAGACACTCGAGACACCCCCCCCCACCACCCCCCTCTTTCCCGAGACACTCCCCCCCCCACCACCCCCCTCTTTCCCGAGACACTCCCCCCCCACCACCCCCCCCTCTTTCCCGAGACACTCCCCCCCCACCACCCCCCTCTTTCCTGAGACACCCCCCCCCACCACCCCCCTCTTTCCCGAGACACTCCCCCCCCACCACCCCCCTCTTTCCCGAGACACTCCCCCCCCACCACCCCCCTCTTTCCCGAGACACTCCCCCCCCACCACCCCCCCCTCTTTCCCGAGACACCCCCCCCCCCACCCCCCCTCTTTCCCGAGACACTCCCCCCCCCACCACCCCCCTCTTTCCCGAGACACTCCCCCCCCCCACCACCCCCCTCTTTCCTGAGACACTCCCCCCCCCCCACCCCCCTCTTTCCCGAGACACTCCCCCCCCACCACCCCCCTCTTTCCTGAGACACTCCCCCCCCCACCACCCCCCTCTTTCCCGAGACACTCCCCCCCCACCACCCCCCTCTTTCCTGAGACACTCCCCCCCCCACCACCCCCCTCTTTCCCGAGACACTCCCCCCCCACCACCCCCCTCTTTCCCGAGACACTCCCCCCCCACCACCCCCCTCTTTCCTGAGACACTCCCCCCCCCCCACCCCCCTCTTTCCCGAGACACTCCCCCCCCCACCACCCCCCTCTTTCCCGAGACACTCCCCCCCACCACCCCCCTCTTTCCCGAGACACTCCCCCCCCCCACCACCCCCCTCTTTCCCGAGACACTCCCCCCCCCACCACCCCCCTCTTTCCTGAGACACTCCCCAACCCCCCCCCACCCCCCTCTTTCCCGAGACACTCCCCCCCCCCCACCCCCCCTCTTTCCTGAGACACTCCCCCCCCCACCACCCCCCTCTTTCCCGAGACACTCCCCCCCCCACCACCCCCCCCTTTCCCGAGACACTCCCCCCCCACCACCCCCCTCTTTCCTGAGACACTCCCCCCCCCACCACCACCCCTCTCTTCCCGAGACACTCCCCCCCCACCACCCCCCTCTTTCCTGAGACACTCCCCCCCCCCACCACCCCCCTCTTTCCCGAGACACTCCCCCCCCCACCACCCCCCTCTTTCCCGAGACACTCCCCCCCACCACCCCCCTCTTTCCCGAGACACTCCCCCCCACCACCCCCCTCTTTCCTGAGACACTCCCCCCCCCACCACCCCCCTCTTTCCCGAGACACTCCCCCCCCCACCACCCCCCTCTTTCCCGAGACACTCCCCCCCCACCACCCCCCTCTTTCCCGAGACACTCCCCCCCCACCACCCCCCCTCTTTCCTGAGACACTCCCCCCCCACCACCCCCTCTTTCCCGAGACACTCCCCCCCCCACCACCCCCTCTTTCCCGAGACACTCCCCCCCCCACCACCCCCCTCTTTCCCGAGACTACCCCGAGACACTCCCCCCCCCACCACCACCCCTCTTTCCCCGAGACACTCCCCCCCCCACCACCCCCCTCTTTCCCGAGACACTCCCCCCCCACCACCCCCCCTCTTTCCTGAGACACCCCCCCCCCCCCACCACCCCCCTCTTTCCCGAGACACTCCCCCCCACCACCCCCCCTCTTTCCCGAGACACTCCCCCCCCCACCCCCCTCTTTCCTGAGACACTCCCCCCCCACCACCCCCCTCTTTCCTGAGACACTCCCCCCCCCCCACCACCCCCCTCTTTCCCGAGACACTCCCCCCCCACCACCCCCCTCTTTCCTGAGACACTCCCCCCCCCACCACCCCCCTCTTTCCCGAGACACTCCCCACCCCCCCTCTTTCCCGAGACACTCCCCCCCCCACCACCCCCCCCCTTTCCCGAGACACTCCCCCCCACCACCACCCCTCTTTCCCGAGACACTCCCCCCCCACCACCCCCCTCTTTCCCGAGACACTCCCCCCCCCCCACCCCCCTCTTTCCCGAGACACCACCACCCCCTCTTTCCCGAGACACACCACCACCCCCTCTTTCCCGAGACACTCCCCCCCCACCACCCCCTCTTTCCCGAGACACTCCCCCCCCCACCACCCCCTCTTTCCCGAGACACTCCCCCCCCCACCACACCCCCTCTTTCCCGAGACACTCCCCCCCCCACCCCCCCCACCACCCACCCCTCTCTTTCCTGAGACACTCCCCCCCCACCACCCCCCTCTTTCCCGAGACACTCCCCCCCCACCACCCCCCTCTTTCCCGAGACACTCCCCCCCCACCCACCCCCCTCTTTCCCGAGACACTCCCCCCCCACCACCACCCCCCTCTTTCCCGAGACACTCCCCCCCCACCACCCCCCTCCACCACCCCCACCTCACCCCCTTTCCCGACACACTCCCCCCCCACCACCCCCCTCTTTCCCGAGACACTCCCCCCCCACCACCCCCCTCTTTCCTGAGACACTCCCCCCCCACCACCCCCCTCTTTCCTGAGACACTCCCCCCCCCCACCACCCCCTCTTTCCCGAGACACTCCCCCCCCCCCACCACCCCCTCTTTCCTGAGACACTCCCCCCCCCACCACCACCCCTCTTTCCTGAGACACTCCCCCCACCACCACCCCCTCTTTCCCGAGACACTCCCACCCCCCCCCACCACCCCCCCTCTTTCCCGAGACACTCCCCCCCCCACCACCCCCTCTTTCCCGAGACACTCCCCCCCCACCACCCCCCTCTTTCCCGAGACACTCCCCCCCCCCACCACACCCCCTCTTTCCTGAGACACCCCCCCCCCACCACCCCCTCTTTCCCGAGACACTCCCCCCCCCCACCACCCCCCCTCTTTCCCGAGACACTCCCCCCCCACCACAACCCCCTCTTTCCCGAGACACTCCCCCCCCCACCACACCCCCTCTTTCCTGAGACACTCCCCCCCCCACCACCCCCCCTCTTTCCCGAGACACTCCCCCCCCCCACCACCCCCTCTTTCCTGAGACACTCCCCCCCCCACCACCCCCCTCTTTCCTGAGACTACCCCCCCCACCACCCCCCCTTTCCTGAGACACTCCCCCCCCACCAGCAACCCCGCAACAAACAACTTACTACAACCATCACCATTATGTGCCGAGCCTGTCATAGAAAATGGGTTGTTGTAAACACTGACCACCCACCATGTGCCGAGTGGCACTCAGAGGGAGGGGGAAGAGGGAGAGGGAGGGGGAGAGGGAGGGGGAGGGGAGGGGGAGAGGGAGGGGGGAGGGGGGAGGGGGGGAGGGGGGAGGGGGGAGGGGGAGAGGGAGTTTTATTTAGGATTACAGGTGTTAAGAATGTTTGAAATGAACATACATGCCGAAAAATTGTGGGTTGTGGTTATGGTTATGGGGTTGGGGGCGTTGGGGTTGTGGGGTTGGGGTTGGAGAAGGGTTGAGGGGTTAGGGGGAGTTGCAGGGTGGGATTGGGGTTTTGGGGTTGTTGTTTCTTTTTGGTTATAGGGTTGGGGGGGCGTTAGGGTTGTGGGGTTATTACAATCATTACAAACAAGAACAAAAGCCCAATCACTCTCACACACGCGCGACAAAAACTAAAATACAATAAACAAAAGCAAGAAAAAGCTAGTTAAAAGCTGCCAAAAACAAAAAAAAAAAGATTAGGGAGTCCCCAAAGAGCAAAGATAAGCTGATAACACAAACCGAGACAATGAACGCTAACTCTTAGAATGGGAGAAAGAGAGACACAAGAGAAATGAGATAATTAAGAAAACGTAATAACAAGCAGAGAGAGAGAGAGAGAGAGGGAAAGAGAGGGAAAGAGAGGGAGAGAGAGGGAGAGAGAGGGGAGAGAGAGGCTGCGAGAGAGGAGTCTCTGAGAGGCGAGAGCGGCCGAGAGAGGGCTCTTCTCGGAGAGGGAGAGAGGGTGGGGTCGGGGAGAGAGGAGGGAGGAGTCTAGTTCTCCTCGCTTAGAGGGAGAGCGGAGAGAGGATGAGGGCTCTTGTCCTCGGGAGGTAGAGGAGAGAGAGAGAGTGAGGCTCTCTCTTTCTCCCCCCTCTTCTAAATCATCCTCCAGAAGCAGGAACAGGAACGGGTACGAATCTCACCGGGTGTGAAGGGGGACCTTAGCGCGGGTCGAACCCCCCCAGCGGTGGAGGAAGAGGACGAGGCCCTTCCCGCCTCCTCATCGTGGGTGTCAAGGGCGGGGTTGGGGCACCGGGGTGATGGGGAGCACGGGTACCGCCCACCCAACATTGAGGTACCTAGAGTGAGGGGGAGTGACGCCATCAGTACACTGTTCTGCATGCCCTCCTACGGCGCCTCCGTCACGAAGGCCACTCACACACAACTCATTATCATCCACCTCCACAATTACATTCACTACAATAGCAATAGGGTAAGCTTAAATATCATTTGAATCCAGTTCTTTAAGGTAACACCTGTAAACATTAGAACACCCTACAACTGCACCTACACCTGCATCTTAGCTATTGGGGGCCAAACCTGTACTCTTAACACACAGCAGCACCTGCAATTATATAAATGATAATGGGGACCTTACGCTACACCTGCAATCATTAACAACGGGAACATGTTCACACCCGTAGGGTAAAGTCGCCGGTGTCCGGACACATGATGCAACTCTCATCAAGCCGACTTTAAAATATAAATATTTTTACAGAAAGAAATTTTGTGCGACAGAGAGGAGACGGGAGGCCAGCCCCAAGCCCGGCCTGAGGCCAGGCTGGACTTGTGATAACTTGGTCCACCAGGCTGTTGCTTGGAGTGGCTAGCAGGCCCACATGTCCACTACAGCCTGGTTTGTCCGGACTTCTTGCAAGAACTTGTCTATGTGTATTCAGGAGACCGCCACCATTGTTCCAGCAATATTTCTAAAGCTTATGTTGTGCTCCTCTGATGTTCCGTGTTCTCTGATTGTGCCTATGGCACAATCAGAGAACACTGATTGACTCTTCACTGGTTCTCTTCTGCATTTCCTTCCGTACCTTTCGCTCCAGTATGTTGTTATTCTACTGTGCTAATTTGGGACCTGGCCATTAGGTATCTTCCATGTATATATTATTTGATACCTTTCTCTTCTTTCCGGGGAGTAATACATGGTAAGAGCTTTGAGACGGTCCCAATAACTTAGATGTTTTATAGTTTCTATGTGTGCCGTATGTGTTCTCTGTATTCACTCTAATTCACAATTCTCTCCTGCTCTGAAAGGGAAAGCGAGTACCGAGCAATACTCAAGATGGGACAGCACTAATTATTTAAACACTAACTTTGCTGTGGGCTCCCTAGATTTGAACGTTCTTATAATCCATCCTATCATTGTCCTGGCCGCCGACGCTCTATTTGCTATGTTCACTAAATGTCAGGTCGTCAGACATCATAATCCCCAGATCATTAAGATGTTATACACCAGCATCACAGTGGGCCACACACCAGAATACCAGACACCATTCCAAAGAGCCAAAAGGAAAATGAATCCCAAAGTCAGTAGACTCGCATCTTGTCAATCACTGACTTTTAAGCTACAATATTACCTTTCAGGGAAGCATAGGTTTGTAAGGCATACATTGGTTGCATTTTCAATTGCGGTGAGGGGCCTCGTAGCCTGGTGGATAGCGCGCAGGACTCGTAATTCTGTGGCGCGGGTTCGATTCCCGCACCAGACAGAAACAAATGGGCAAAGTTTCTTTCACCCTGAATGCCCCTGTTACCTAGCAGTAAATAGGTACCTGGGAGTTAGTCAGCTGTCACGGGCTGCTTCCTGGGGGTGGAGGCCTGGTCGAGGACCGGGCCGCGGGGACACTAAAAGCCCCGAAATCATCTCAAGATAACCTCAAGATAACCTCAATTGTTGTGCCATGTCCAGACACAGTTTATGACCCATAACGACTCTACCAAAGTCTCTACCGGAATACCATCAGTTTAATGACAGAATAACCATCTGAAAACAACACGGCACAAATTAAACTGAATATTATTCTTCTAAAATATGACTCTCATGAGAGCAGCCACTCACACTTACGGGGAACATTGAACACTTTATACTAGGAGTTAGGAACACATTTACTGTTTCATTGTTACTGGAGGATACTCCAGACGTTTGCTGACACTTTGGTCAATATTGTGATGTTGTTTACTTTCTGTCTGGACACCAGCGCCTTTACCCATAACAATGGGGACACACCTGCTATAATAACAATGGGGACACACCTGCTATAATAACAATGGGGACACACCTGCTATAATAACAATGGGGACACACCTGCTATAATAACAATGGGGACACACCTGCTATAATAACAATGGGGACACTACACCTGCTATAATAACAATGAGGACACACCTGCTATAATAACAATGAGGACACACCTGCTATAATAACAATGGGGACACACCTGCTATAATAACAATGGGGACACACCTGCTATAATAACAATGGGGACACACCTGCTATAATAACAATGGGGACACTACACCTGCTATAATAACAATGGGGACACACCTGCTATAATAACAATGGGGACACACCTGCTATAATAACAATGGGGACACACCTGCTATAATAACAATGGGGACACACCTGCTATAATAACAATGGGGACACTACACTGCCTGCTATAATACACTACACTACCTGCTATAATAACACTACACTACACTACCTGCTATAATACACTACACTACCTACCTGTTAATACACTACACACTACCTGACACTACACTACCTGCTATAATAACAATGAGGATACACCTGCTATAATAACAATGGGGACACACCTGCTATAATAACAATGAGGATACACCTGCTATAATAGCAATGGGGACACTACACCTGCTATAATAACAATGAGGATACACCTGCTATAATAACAATGGGGACACGCTACACCTGCTATAATAACAATGGGGACACACCTGCTATAATAACAATGAGGACACACCTGCTATAATAACAATGGGGACACACCTGCTATAATAACAATGGGGACACACCTGCTATAATAACAATGGGGACACACCTGCTATAATAACAATGGGGACACACTACACCTGCTATAATAACAATGGGGACACACCTGCTATAATAACAATGAGGACACACCTGCTATAATAACAATGGGGACACACCTGCTATAATAACAATGGGGACACACTACACCTGCTATAATAACAATGGAGACACACCATAACAATGGGGACACACCTGCTATAATAACAATGGGGACACACCTGCTATAATAACAATGGGGACACACCTGCTATAATAACAATGGGGACACACCTGCTATAATAACAATCGGGACACACCTGCTATAATAACAATGGGGACACTACACCTGCTATAATAACAATGAGGACACACCTGCTATAATAACAATGAGGACACACCTGCTATAATAACAATGGGGACACACCTGCTATAATAACAATGGGGACACACCTGCTATAATAACAATGAGGATACACCTGCTATAATAACAATGGGGACACGCTACACCTGCTATAATAACAATGAGGACACACCTGCTATAATAACAATGGGGACACACCTGCTATAATAACAATGGGGACACACCTGCTATAATAACAATGGGGACACACCTGCTATAATAACAATGGGGACACTACACTGCCTGCTATAATACACTACACTACCTGCTATAATAACACTACACTACACTACCTGCTATAATACACTACACTACCTACCTGTTAATACACTACACTACCTGACACTACACTACCTGCTATAATAACAATGAGGATACACCTGCTATAATAACAATGGGGACACACCTGCTATAATAACAATGAGGATACACCTGCTATAATAGCAATGGGGACACTACACCTGCTATAATAACAATGAGGATACACCTGCTATAATAACAATGGGGACACGCTACACCTGCTATAATAACAATGGGGACACACCTGCTATAATAACAATGAGGACACACCTGCTATAATAACAATGGGGACACACCTGCTATAATAACAATGGGGACACACCTGCTATAATAACAATGGGGACACACCTGCTATAATAACAATGGGGACACACTACACCTGCTATAATAACAATGGGGACACACCTGCTATAATAACAATGAGGACACACCTGCTATAATAACAATGGGGACACACCTGCTATAATAACAATGGGGACACACTACACCTGCTATAATAACAATGGAGACACACCTGCTATAATAACAATGGGGACACACTACACCTGCTATAATAACAATGGGGACACACCTGCTATAATAACAATGGGGACACACTACACCTGCTATAATAACAATGGGGACACACCTGCTATAATAACAATGGGGACACTCTACACCTGCTATAATAACAATGGGACACACTACACCTGCTATAATAACAATGGGGACACACCTGCTGTAATAACAATGGGGACACTCTACACCTGCTATAATAGCAATGGGACACACTACACCTGCTATAATAACAATGGGACACACCTGCTATAATAACAATGGGGACACTCTACACCTGCTATAATAACAATGGGGACACTCTACACCTGCTATAATAACAATGGGGACACTCTACACCTGCTATAATAACAATGGGGACACACCTGCTATAATAACAATGGGGACACTACCTGCTATAATAACAATGGGACACTCTACACCTGCTATAATAACAATGGGGACACACCTGCTATAATAACAATGGGGACACTACACCTGCTATAATAACAATGGGGACACACCTGCTATAATAACAATGGGGACACACCTGCTATAATAACAATGGGGACACACCTGCTATAATAACAATGGGGACACACCTGCTATAATAACAATGGGGACACACCTGCTATAATAACAATGGGGACTACACCTGCTATAATAACAATGGGGACACACCTGCTATAATAACAATGGGGACTACACCTGCTATAACAACAATGGGGACACACCTGCTGTAATAACAATGGGGACACACTACACCTGCTATAATAACAATGGGGACACTACCTGCTATAATAACAATGGGGACACACTACACCTGCTATAATAACAATGGGGACACACCTGCTATAATAACAATGGGGACACACACCTGCTATAATAACAATGGGGACACACTACACCTGCTATAATAACAATGGGGACACACCTGCTATAATAACAATGGGGACACACTACACCTGCTATAATAACAATGGGGACACACCTGCTATAATAACAATGGGGACACACTA